TTAGAAGCGTGTCAACACAAGCTACTTCCTCATAACTATAACGCTTGTTAAAAAACCAAGCCCATCCTGTGCCGAATAACACACACACACACAGAGAACAGATTGATCAAGCTCTCTTTCTATTCCTGCTGACTTGTTAGGAAGCTGCAGGCCAGCGAAGAGTAGGGTGTGGAAAAGGGAGTCACCCAACAGTTTGAACGTACTTAAAATCAACCACTGCATGCATTTTTCTGCACTTATAACTAAGTACACTGTAAAAGGGAATGGCTGTGATATTTTTGCGATATTTAACATAACCTAATATTTTGTACATAGTATGCTATATGTTTTAAATTCATTATATAATTCATGTTAAAAAAATTAATGTCTGACAATGAAAATTCATGTCTGACAATGACAAGAGTTTCTGTTGAGCAAAACACACACCTGACATCAGTCAACTCATAGTACATATTCCTCATGTCATCTTTGATGTATATAGCCACGCTGGGGGACTCCAGTATCTTCATAGTGAGGTGCTGAGGAAAGGCACTGACAAACAGAGCCTTGATGGTGTCTGCACCCGTCACCTCATTGGGCATTCGGATCTGTTTGGTCTCTTCTCCATACTGCAGGTAGAGGACACCTAAATATAAACCAAGTATAAGAGATTGATAATAGCACAATATGTAAAATGTGAGATTTCTTATTTAAATTAAAGGGGTTATATGATGCAATTTCAATTTGTTCTTTCTCTTTGAAGTGTTACAAGCTCTTGGTGCATAAAGAAGATCTGTAAAGTTGCAAAGACTAAAGTCTCAAATCCAAAGAGATATTCTTTATAAAAGTTAAGAGTCAACCACGCCTACCTAAAACGGCTCGTTCTAACACGCCCCCACATGTCTACGTCACAATGTGAGAAGATTTGCATAACTCCACCCAAATGTTCACGCAAAGAAAGAAGGCATAACTTTTATTCTCGCTGTAGAATTGTTGCTGCCGCCATGTCGAGACGCTGTGTGTTTCATTGTGAAAGCGAAACTACTTTGTTTGGTCTTCCAAAAGAGGACGATATCCGCTTCGTCATGCCTAGAGCTGATCCGTGCTGGTTGCTGAGGAAATACATCAACTTTGCGCTGCGGAGCGAAGCGGAGTCCAGCCCGGGGTCGTCACATGTGATCGCTGCAAGCCTGCTGGTCGCTCCTTCGTCAAATCCGCCGGCCGCCGCTCACTCTAGCAATCCTAAATGTAACGAGTCCATTTGAAACCGTTGTATGATATGCAAAGAAGTAAAAAACAGTTTATGCTTTGTGTACGAAAAAAACGATGCATGATATTAAAAATGAAGCATATTCACATTAAGATATTTACCAATTAAAGTGAAAGAATGCCCAGTTTTTGCACATTCACCTCAAGAATATTTCCAAAAAGTGAAGTGTCTTTAAATTAAATCCTAAATGTAACGAGTCCATTTGAAACCGTTGTATGATATGCAGAGAGTAAAAAACAGTTTATGCTTTGTGTACGAAAAAAACGAAACAAAAAAAACTACAAAAGGCCAGCTGCCAAAAATAGCAAAAACATTAGAAATGGCATCAACATTTGGTCTGACATCAAAACGTGTTATATTAAGTTTATATTACACACTATTTCTTTAACAAAGAAAGTTACAAAGCTATAAAGGGTTTCCAGTGAGAATTCAATTATAATATTCAAATATTCTGTTTAAAATAACAACAGGGACTTACTGATCTTCTCTTTTAACGTGCAACATGGATTCAAAAATACTCTTAATTTACTAATATCTGACTAACATCAGCCTTGCCTTAAAACTTGATTTGTAACTTCATCAACATTACTTCAAAATACCTATTGACAATCATGGGGGAATAAATAAATCAAAAACACACCCATGAGTTAAAAACACTGAGTCAGTACTTTACCTAATGACCTGTCCTTGGTCTGGTTATTTGACTTGACCACGGGGAGGCTCGCTCGGGAGCGGCTGCCTCGGGTGAAGGCGGAGGGGGCTTCTCCTTCTGACATGGCCTCCAAAGAATCAAGGGAGGCCAAAGAGAGATGCTCCCCCAACTCCCCTACAGCAGACAGTGGGGTTACACTGTGCCCAGAACTCCTGATCTACAAGAAAACACAAAATGATCAAAGAAGAGGTTAAACAGATCATTTAGAACTGGACCTATCATCAAACGACACTATTTTTGTCTAAATAACTTAACCCTAAAGATTTTGGCAATGTTATGTGTTATGTATTATTGTATTTATTGATATTTTGAATTAGCTTTTAATTTTATATTTTGTTTTCATTTTTATTTTAGTAATTCTGTTATGTGCTTTCGCTATTTTTATCTTTTTATTTTTTATTTCAGTTTTAGTAATCTTACTTAAACTTCAAAGTTACCAAGGCAACATTTATCATTTTCATTTCATTTTTAAGTTTTGTTTTTAAAGTTTTTTATTTAATATTTATATTTTATTTCATTTCAGCTTTATTTCAATGAATGATTTTAGTTGTAGTATTAGTTAACTCTAACAACAGAGTTGCCTAGCATCTGAACTGTTAAACATTTGAAAAAGATTGATAAGTTTATTAACTGTGCATTCTGAATGTCAAGATGCGAGCAGCCTGGTACCGTCATAAACTTAAATGCTCAATAAAAGGCCACAGAAAGGTCAGAGAGGAATTGTGGAGAGATACTAAATAGACAGACACAGCTCTATTCAGTAAACAATCAATACCCGAGAGAACAAAAAAGTGTGGCTCTCAAGCATTGCTTAATTAAATTTATTTCTCAAGCATTGGTTACAACGGTTAAGCAAAAATATGACATTAAAATCCTTCATTTATTATTCAACCACATTTGCAATTTATGTGCCTAAAGAGATTAACTGAAAACAATGATCTACTGATCACAAGGGTGACTACGAAATAAAAAAAGGTATGGAAGTCGTCGGATTCCTTTTCTGTTTCACGACACATGGACATAAAATCGTCAACATGTCTTTAAGTCAATTACGGCTCAGTCCTATAATTTAGCTCACATTAAAAAAAGAAAATGGAGTGATTTATCTCCAGTTGCACAAAAGCAGTAAACGCACAAAGACCAATTAGTGTGCTCTGACACAGACATTATCCTTTGTAGCCTATTTATTTTCAAAGGCCAAAGTGTTTCAACATGGTTGTCCTCAAAATAACACAATTTGGGCCTATACAGACAGCAGACATTGGATATATGTTCACAAAGGATGGGCTTTCACCCATTGCTCCCTTCTCAGCAACAGAAAGAAGCGACAGGCAGAAGTCCACATATACTGAGTCAGAGCGCGTCTCATCATAACGACAACACGCACACTGACCTGCTCTGACATGCACGCCTGCCAGATTACCACCCTGCATGACCTGAAGGAACTTAATCCTTCTATACTGCGCTGCTTCATTTTCGACTGTGGTTTTGGTGACAATGCAATTATGAGGTCAGGACAGAAGCACACAATTACACCTTAGACTCCGCATTTGACGCAGGCATTTCCGAAAACGTCTCGAAACATTTCTGTAAACACCTTTTCAGAACTATATTTAAATCAAACCATTCTTTTGTACATTTAACTAAGTTTTTGTGCACCCACAGATTAGTTCGAGCTCTAAACGTGTTTTGACCGAACAATGCTCCATTGTGCTAACTTAGACACTTTCGGTCTGAAGTCTTGTGTTATGCAAATCTAACAAAAAATACTGTTGTACCTTTGGGAGGATCTCTGCTGACAGTAGTCTGTGCAAAAATCTCCATGCCATGGTGTATGCAAGTCTCAAAGTTGATACTAAAGAGTAAGGTCATGACCGGTTCAGCCTAAAGGGTGATTCACACAGAATGTGTTTTTGAGCTTAAAAAAAAAGAAAGAAATGTAACTACTTTTTTTAAAAGTTGAAGAACTTGAGAGCCACTCTTTTTAGCGGCGTGTCATGAGCGATATGCTGGAAAAGACACAACAGGTAAAAGCAACGGTCATCAATCTAGTGAATGTTTACATGATAGAAAACAATGGAAAAGTACCAATGCAAAACGTGTTCCATGTAAACTGCTTCTTTAGGGTTTAATAAGGGTTAGAAGAGGGTCTGGTGTAAAAAAAAATGTGAGACTCAATGGAATGGAAGAAAACACAAGGTCTAAAGATGTGATTTTTTTCATGCACGACACAACAATGCACGTCAAACACGTCCATCTAGTGCATGTTTACATATAAAAACAATAGAAAAGAAGTGCAATGGAATGTGAAAACGTGAGAAGCAGGGCAGTGAAAAAAAAAAAAAAAAAAACCCAAGGGCTAAAGACAAGATTTTTTAAAGGTTGATTTTTTAAATTGAAACTGCTTCTTTAGGGTTTAATAAGGGTTAGAAGAGGGTCTGGTGTAAAAAAAAATGTGAGACTCAATGGAATGGAAGAAAACACAAGGTCTAAAGATGTGATTTTTTTCATGCACGACACAACAATGCACGTCAAACACGTCCATCTAGTGCATGTTTACATATAAAAACAATAGAAAAGAAGTGCAATGGAATGTGAAAACGGGAGAAGCAGGGCAGTGAAAAAAAAAAAAAAAAAAAAAGCCCAAGGTCTAGAGACACGATTTTTTAAAGGTTGATCTTTTAAATTGAGCAACACGTTTTTAGTGGTGTGTAATGTGCAAAACATTGCAATAGAGACATGAGTGAATCAGTCAAACACTTCCATCTAACACATTTCCAAAGAAAAACTATGGGAAATCAGATCAGTGGAATGCAAAAAAAAAAAACAATCAAGGTCCAGATAAACAGTTTATTTTAACTTGAGAGCCACATTTTTAGAACACTATATGCATGAGACATTGCAAAAAGATGCGAGCGCAACAGTCAAAGAAATCCATCTAATGCATGTTTTCATAGAAAAGCTATGAAAAAGCAGTGCAGTGGAATGCAAAATGTGAGACAATGAGAAGTATAATTGAAATAATTGAATTGTAATTGAATTTGAGATGTCATGAGCGAGACTGCGAAGACATTCATCTAGATTCTAGAGCATCTTTACATACAAAAACGCATTTTGTGTGAACGGCCCTTAAGAATACAAGAGATCAGCTTCATTATTTGCATGTTACTGCTGCATTGACTCCAGATTCACCCTATACTTCATCCCTACACTGAATGCATTCTTAGGAAATGCACAGATTGTTTTTGATGGCTTTGATGGAGGTGGCTGAACTTGCCCATTATGCAGGCAATACCAGAAACCTCTTTTTAAAGTCAAAAACTATGTTGACTGATGGAAAACAGTGCTTTGGCAATTCATTAGGAGGCATATCCAAAAATCTTTCATTCTGAAGACCCAGGCTGAGACTTGGAAGGTGATGAATACGAGTTTGATGTTATCTTTGGACAGGTGTTGCATTGTGAGATGACTAACAACCGCTCCGGTGTGCACAGACGCAAGAACAAATAACAGGCTTTTATGTTCTCTTGAAAAAAAGTGCATCAAACTGTGCCCAGATTAATGGTGCATGACAGCTGCGATCATTTTAGACATGCATAATGCAACTGTATGTTAAACATTTCATTGTGTGGATTAAATAAAATAAATATGATTGCATTCTTAAGATTGCTTAAGGATAACCCTGAAGAAAAAAAAAACAGTCAACAACAGCCACTGTACTTAACACTTGTTGAAAGTGTTACTCTGATTATCTAGATGCTTCAACTGCACCCTGCAGACCAGGGATCAAATTTACACCTATTTCACATGCATAAGCAAGCCGTGCTGACATACGCTCACACTCGGGCACTGTCAGAATGCATTACCTGCAGAATGCCAAGAGAGGACTGAAAACAGCAGTTTAAAGCATAAGGGTGGGCTTGAGGGGAGCAGCTTGTACGGTTCACTGCACTCTCCTCTAATCACAGGCAGATGAATGGCCACAAACCATGCTTCATCTGAGCCGGTCTAATGCCAGGTCTTTGAACGCACTGGCAGGGTCAGATAAATCATACATCATTCTCTCTGGGTCTGGAGAATATTGAAGTAAGAATGAACGAAAGAGCGAAAGGTGGATGAAACACACACTCCCTCCTGCTGGATGGGCTTCAGTTTTGTTCAGTGCCAGGGGCATGATATGAAATTACTCACGGCTGTACCCAGCCACAGAAAAAAACTATATAAAAAAAATAATAAATCAAGAGACAGACACATTGCATTGAAAGAAACCAGCTATTGGGAAAGCAAGTGATACTTGTGAGTTAAAAGAAGAACCCCCCCACAAAAAAAAAACCTTACAAAAACTACGGTACGGTGATTAGATGCTAAATACCATGGTGCATAGTACTTTTCACCATTGCCTGGTACGTCAAAAAAAAAACATAATATTTCCATGGTAGGCTATATAAAAAACATTACACTACCATAATTATTTTGGGTAGCCTACATTGAAATGGATAAGCAGTAGTTTCTCATAATCTGATAACTAGTAGAATCTCATATTATGATAACGGTCATAATATCCTAATTGTTTTGCATATCTTTAAGAATTTTGATCCAAGAGAACCAGTATGACGACTTCTCTGTTTACGTTCAGATAACACATCCATTACTCCGACGACTCGCAAGACAATTGATTCATTAGCTAAAAAGCTCATCGTTTAGTTTAATGGTATTATGGACGTTAACTTTTTAAAACCTATACAATATAAGGAAAATAAACATAATTTTCTTTACTTAACGAGTTGAGACAAGCCTATTGCTTACACAGACTGACTTGCTGACACTGTAAAACAATTGTCATTTTAGGCTAATGTACAATACCTTGATGCAACCTCCACCTTGATTCTTCACACAAAGGGCATATTCCAGATAATAAATAGCAAATGTCAATAGCAAGTCCGGTAGTGTGTCTGAGCTGCAGAAGTTTGTCTGCAGTGAAGTGATCTTTGAAAGCCGTGACATCAGCGTCTGCACAGAGACACACCCACCTATATGAACTTACCTGAAAGACTTGTTGGGCTACAAAAAATGGTTGCGAAATGTGCCTTTCCATCACCTTCTTGTTTACTACATCTTAAATCAAAATAGCGACATTAAGTCCTGAAAACATTGGTGAGGCTATTGTTAAACAGGCATATTAAGATGTGTCACGCGACTCTCTGGAGTATTACATTCTGATTGGTCAGTCGCAGTATTAGGCGAATGGTAAAATAAATGAACGTTTTCGAGAACATTTCCTATAGCCGTATTCTGCAGTATTGTCTTTACATACTGATAAAATAAAATATTTCAACTCAAATCAGAATTTATTAAAAGTTGATAATAGTAATAATAACAACAATTAATAAATCCATATAATCCCATCGGTAATTCTTACATTTAAATGTAATGCGGTCAGTGATGTTGCAGCAGCGCTCAAAGATAACGCGCTTTATTTTAGCCTACATTCCGCGTCCCACACTTCAGAGGGTTTTCTTTGTATGTTCTGCTGTTTATCTACTTCCTTTGAAGGCAACAACTGATGGTGTAAAATACTACAGCTTTGGATATCTGTACGTGAGCGCAGTCATCTGGAGATGGCATGGTATTACATTCAGTGTGTAGCCTACATTTTATGTTTACGTGGCTATAATTTAGCCTACATTTTATATTTATTTAATTATTTAAGGTGTACGTTAAACAATTTATTCACATTTATTATTTTTTATTAATGTAATTGTTTATTCAAGCATACATACAAATAAATCTGCAACAGTCCAAGCTGTGACTACACCACTCAAAATGTATCCATCCGGCAAAGATACATTGAAAATGTCAAGCGGAAACTAGCAGCAATAAAAATGCCAGCGTTCTTTAATCTGTCAAGAGTCACATGTGTAGGCCAGAGTAAGGGAATGGTAACATATGTGGAGAGGGGCTAAACCAACTGTAAACGTTTTCTTGCAAGGCTTGGACCAATCTCTTATAGAAATATGTCATGCTATGGAATTTCATTGACTATGGTGACAAAATGTAATGATTTACACAGAAAACAATGGAATTTTCCTTGAAGGCAACAACTGATGGTGTAAAATACTACAGCTTTGGATATCTGTACGTGAGCGCAGTCATCTGGAGATGGCATGGTATTACATTCAGTGTGTAGCCTACATTTTATGTTTACGTGGCTATAATTTAGCCTACCTTTTATATTTATTTAATTATTTAAGGTGTACGTTAAACAATTTATTCACATTTATTATTTTTTATTAATGTAATTGTTTATTCAAGCATACATACAAATAAATCTGCAACAGTCCAAGCTGTGACTACACCACTCAAAATGTATCCATCCGGCAAAGATACATTGAAAATGTCAAGCGGAAACTAGCAGCAATAAAAATGCCAGCGTTCTTTAATCTGTCAAGAGTCACATGTGTAGGCCAGAGTAAGGGAATGGTAACATGTGGAGAGGGGCTAAACCAACTGTAAACGTTTTCTTGCAAGGCTTGGACCAATCTCTTATAGAAATATGTCATGTTATGGAATTTCATTGACTATGGTGACCAAATGTAATGATTTACACAGAAAACAATGGACTTTTTTTTAAGTGCAAGTACTAAAATTAATAAAACTAAAACTGAAATAAATATACAGAAAAGTTAAATATAGCTCAAATAAATAAGTAATAATTCAAAATATTAATAAATACTATGTAACATATAAACAACACTAAAATAACTCTGCCTACATGGGCACCATTAGTTTGGATATACATATTTAAATGATTATTTTTCTGTCATATTGTGAATTTGCATTCAATAGAAATATGTAAAACAATATGATACAAATAATTAATGTATTTTCTTATACAGTAAAACAGCTTTACAAACCTTTACAAATAATTTTAGATATAATGTACCATGCTGCTTGATATATTGCAAGCACTGCACAAATCCTTGTAAATCAATACGTTTCTGCAAAATACATTTTCATAATTTGTGGAACCTGTAGGTTTTGTTTGGGTGAATGTGCCAACAAGTTTACTATAAAGAATTATTGCATCATTATTGGCTAAGACAGACACATTCCATCATTGGAAGCTAATGAGAGACAAGCAGTTATCCCACTTAATTTCCTCTCTCATGGTAGCCTTTTCGGAGTCTCAGGCTTCTTGTTAGGGAAAGAGTTTAATGCTTAATGAGGACATCTAAAAACCCTGTGGTATGTGGAGGAATTTTCTCATTCTTTACTGTGCCGCTGTCCTCCCTTTGTGGATAAGATTCACTGGAAAACATTAGGAGAAAAGAAGAGGAACTTTATGCTCTTTCACGTGACCTGTAGTTTGTAGTGTACAAAGTCTGAATATAGGGACTGAGATGATCCATTCACAGACAATTGTGGTGAGATTTGTGCGTTATGTTGTGTTTTTCTACAGGCCTAGTATTGTTGGACAGCTAAGGTGTCATCAGTTTCTTTAGTAATGGTCTGCTGAAGCCCTTTAACTTTTCCTGACCTGAAATATCCACAGCCCATTGCTCACTAATGAAAAAATTGACTCTAAAAGAGTTGTTTCCGCACAGAGATATTGTGAAAGAAAAATCACACTGTCAACAAGACTGAAGAGGGTCAGACTGATGAAGATGAAATTGTTGCAGTTTGCAAGCCTTTGCACTTATTCCCCATAAAACATATTGCATGAGAGAATATAAATCATTTTTTCTCATTTTTGTGCAGAAAGTGTCACATACTGTGAATGAGGTATGTTGAGATGGAGTGATAACTTATATCTATACTAGTCTAGAAGAAAAATGAAAGATTTTTACTAGACGCTTCCCATTTCTGACCAGAAAAGAGATGTTCCTTCCATTTTTACCACCCATTTGAGAAAAAACTTGCTTGGTGTGTGATCACCATCAGACATCTGCATGGCCCCGAGAGGAAGGCCACGGTTAATGCTGCTGAGTGGCTGTAGATAACTGATGATGGCCAGCTGTTCCTGTGGTGATTATGTATGAATGCCTGTTTGTTGTTGGACTAAAGAAACATTCACACTCCTCTGAAAGTTATCATTCATACAAACAAATAGATATACTACTGCAGTTTTTCTGAGGAACATGACGGACGTCTGTGTTGTTAAGCACATTCTTAGCAATTGTTTTGCAAATGATCTTTGGTATAAGTTTGGAATTTTGTAATACTTGATTTTATTGTAGAACTTCTCATGATTTAAGATATATTGTCAATATTATAAATATAAAGTTTTTGTAAATGCAAATATATACACTTTATTCTCATCAAGGCTGCATTTATTTGATCAAAGATAAAGTAAAAACAGTAATATTGTGAAACATTATTAAAATGTAAAATAACTGTTTACTATTTTACTATATTTTAAAATTTTATTTATTCCTCTGATGGCAAAACGTAATTTTCAGCAGTCATTACTTTAGTCTCACATGATCCTTCAGAACTCATTTTACAGTAATATGCTGATTTGGTGCCGAATAATAATTTCTTACTATTATCAATGTTAAAACCAGTTGTGCTGCTTAGTTTGGAAACCGTGATACTTTTTACAGGTTTCTTTGACAAAAGTTCAAAAGAACAGTGTTTATTTTGTAACATTATAAATGTCTTCAATGAGACATTCGATCAATTTTTTTTAAATTCCAGGCCCCAAACTTTTGAATGTCAATAAATAAATAAACAACATAACATAACACAATTTTGTTTATTGAAACATTATTTTGGACAAAAAATTGTGTCCAATGAATAAATGACATTTTGTGTTATAGGCAGTTGTATCACAGTGAGAGGTTGATTAAATCTGTTAGAATTGTTGAAGCATTTATGTTGTATCTATCAATTTATCCATCTATTCATCATCTATATTATATTTTTATTGTCTTTTAATTACTTCAGATGAACAAAAGATGAGCTAACATTATCTCCAGTGGTCTTGCAAAGCCCCTCTGGGTAACTTTCTATGTTTGCATCCAATTTATCCAAGAGTAAAACTCTCCCTTTAATGGTCTTTTAATGTTATCCAGTTCCAAGTGTATGGATTATTAAAAACCTTCCCCTATATCCTATATACTCTCTAATTTATTCTCCTCCGTAAAACAGACAACCACTGGAGAAAATCCAGATGTTGTCTGTCATTTTCCAAGCATGTAAGGTCACTTTATGGAGAGGATATCCTCTCTCCACTCACAGATGTTGTTTATGCACTTGGGACTGAATGACAAACCTGTATCTCCAAAACTTCAGCATTATGGTGTGGACATGCTGAGGCACAGCCATACAGCATTAGTCAATTGTCAACACATTTGAAAGTCTTACTCTGACATTTAATCTGAAGTTTCACATTAAACACATCACACACTGGACTTCAGACTGTGTTTGACTAATGCCTCATCATCCATACTAAGCTATAAGCGTGGATGATTTCAAGAGGTTTGGGTATTTGCAGGCCTGGCATCATGAGTATTTGCTTTTCTCTTAAAATGAAGTAAGTGTTGATTCCTCTGCCTCTTTCATGAGAGTTTCATGCTTGAAAAATTTGGTATAGCAGTCAAATGCCATGTAGACACACACAAAATCTATTTATGGGGTCATTAGGGCCAGACAGATTCAATGTGTGCTTTACCATCACAGGAAGAAATTATATTTCAAAATATATTAAAATAAAACTGTAATAATATTTCACTATATTACTGTTTTACTGTGTATTTGATCAAGTAAATGCAGCTTTGTGAGCATTTTTGAAAAGAGACTTTTATAAAATAATATATTATATATATATATATTATTTATTTATTTATTAGTGAACAAATAGTCAGTTATGTCATGAGGCTTAGTCATGAGATCCACAGTGAGACAATGCTTTTTTCAGGCAAGGCCTTTATTTGTCTTCCCATCACACACTGGACTTCAGACTGTGTTTGACTAATGCCTCATCATCCATACTAAGCTATAAGCGTGGATGATTTCAAGAGGTTTGGGTATTTGCAGGCCTGGCATCATGAGTATTTGCTTTTCTCTTAAAATGAAGTAAGTGTTGATTCCTCTGCCTCTT